AGGTGAACGGCAAGGTGCGCGCCACACTGCAGGTGGCGGTGGGGGTGGGGCAGGAGGAGGCAGTGGCAGCAGCGCTGGCCCACCCCAACGTGGCCCGGCTGGTGGAGGGGAAGAGCGTGCGCAAGACCATCTTTGTCAAGGGGCGGATTCTCAACCTCGTGGTGGGATGAGATGGGCTGGGTTGGGACTCAAATTATCGAGTGGAAGGGAAGAGCATGGGGCGCAGTTTTTGTTAGCTGATTGATGGTTGGTGGTGCGGTGTCTTATCAAACTCTCTTACTGAACGCCTGTGATGTATCGTACCGTCACTTTAGTGCTAAGTGTGATTGTTTGGTAGTGTGCAATGTTAGAAGGTGTGTGACAGTGTTGCTTGTCATGTCATGCAAGCAACCAATCTGACCCGACCCATCTCGCGAATGTACCGGTATCAATTCTACACATCCCAATCATTTAGCACACTGATGGTGGATTCCCATTGATGCTTCAAGCAAAACCATCAGCATTGAACCCAGCTGGCAGCCGCTCCGCTGCCCTTGAAACAGAAGCCGCCGGCAATTTACAGTATGTATGTACATTAATCAGGTACTTACGGCAGCTGCATTGTCTCAAGTGATTGGGACACCCCGAAGGTGCGTTTCATAGCTTCACCAACACACGACACACAAAACCAATAGATTCACAGTCAAGGAAGACTGCACTGGTTGGTGGCTGCTTGCAGTAGCATTGGTAGAGAAGAGCAGCAAAGTCTAAAACGGTACGGTACGGTATGGTATGTTAGTAGTCAAGAAAAGGTACCGTATGAATGAATTTATGGCAATCCTATATGGATCACGTGGGGAGTGGGCACAGCACAGCACAGCCGGCCGTGATCCACACATCATCTATTTCTCCACACAAAATGCTGGCAGGCACGCAGTATCTATGCAATCATCACCACTCCTCTCCGCCACTCCTCTCCGCCACTCCTCTCCCTCTTTCCTAGCACCACACACCTCTTCCCCCCTCCTCACATCACACCTCCTCTTCCTCCTCCCCATCCACCACCACAACCCCCACCTCCTCCTCCGCCGCCCAGTGCTCCTCCCACCAATGGGGCTGCAGCACCGCCCGCGCCTCCTCCAGCTGCTGCCGTATCCCCGCCAGTTGGCGGCCGTCCGGCATCGCCACGTCAGCAGGTGCCACATCAGCGCCAAACAGCTTTGCCGCCCGAACGACATACTGTGAGACTGCTGTTTGCTGCTCGGGTGTGAGTGTGGTAGATGAAGTAGAGGAGGAAGAAGAGGAGGTGGAAGAGAGAAGGGAGGAAGAAGACGAGGAGGAGCTGGTGACACGTGGCAGCATCTGATTGGTGTGCAGCAGCATGAGAGGTGCCATCAGGGCATCCACACATGGTTGAGTGGGCGGCCAGTCCCAGACAGGCGCCGCCGCCCGCTCCCTCCTCTCTATCGCCTGCAGCAGGGCGGCGCAGTGCGGCATATCCCGCCACCCACTGCGACAGTCCAGAATCAAATCTTCATAAATAGCCAAGGAGATCAACAGCAGCAAGGGAAGACGCTTGGGCTTCGTCCCCACAAAGCCTTCAAAGGAAGGCAGGTCAAAGTGGCTGGAACCCCACTGCACCACTCTGAACACCACATCCACCTTCACCTGCATTGGCAGCGCTGCCAGCACCCCCATCACACTCGCGCCATACACCGAGTCTTCGCCGCCCAGCGGAATCAGCCTCGGGACCTTGCCGAAGCTGCTTCCGAGCCTGCTTGTCTGGTTCGGGCTCACAACTTTTGGGGCCGGAATGGAGAGCTGCTGAGGCGATCTCTGCTGCTGCTGTTGCGATTGCTGCTGTTGCTGCTGCCACTGCTCCTTCTGCTGGGCTTGCTGCTGTTGCTGCTGCTGCTGCAGCTGTTGTTCGTGCTGGTACTGGTACACGCGGTGGTGGTGCCGTGCCTGGTGGGAAGGCCTAGACGTGTCAGTGTGTGTGCGAGCGATGGTAGGTTGTCCGTTGCCCCCCGAGCCCGGCCGACCATGCCCGAAAGCCTGCAGCAGCGAGCCGGGGAGGCTCATGGACATCATCTTCTGCATGTGGGGGCTACTGCTCATCATCTCCGGGGTGGTACTGTTCATGTGCGGGCTGCTGTTCATGTGTGTGTTACTGTTCCTGCCAGCAATCATCCCCCCTGCGCCTGGGACTGTACCCAAACCGCCACCATACCCAGACCCCTCTTCTCGTTCCATTCCCTCTTCGCCCCACGCTTGTCCCCCTCCTCCTTCACCTCCTCCCCCTCCTCCACCTCCTCCCCCTCCTCCACCTCCTCCCCCTCCCATTCCCCCGCCATCCCTGGCCATGCCACCTGTGCGTCCCATCCAAGCGCGTCTGTTGCCATGCCGCCTGCCTCGTGACAGCAGCGGCCCACTCAGCACCTTCTTGCCCTTCACCCGCCCTCTTGCCTGCCCCGTTGGCTCTTCCCTTCCACCCCCTCTCACCCCTCCGACCCCATCACCCCTTCTGTCTTCACCACCATATCCTGCAGCAGCAGCAGCAGGAGCAGCAGAAGCAGCAGCAGCAGCATCAAGCCCCCTGCCTCCGCTGCCCCAGAAGCTGTCCCCGCTGCTGCCGCCCGAACCAGAGTGCCCAGGCTCGGCAGGCCAGGCACGGGGGTGGTGCGGGAGAGAATTGGTGGTGCGGAGCTGGTACTGGGAGTCAGAGGCCTCTGAGTCGTCATAGCTGCCTGGTATCCACACAGTGGATGCGGATGGGTGGGTATGGGCGGATGCAGCTGCAGATTGCATGTGATGCTGCTGGGACTGCATCTGCATCTGCTGCTGCTGATACTGCGGCTGCTGCTGGGGGTGCATCTGCTGTTGTTGCATCTGCTGCTGCTCGTACTGGTACTGGTACTGTTGCTGCTGCTGGTACTGTTGCTGCTGATTCTGCTGCTGATACTGTTGCTGCAGCTCTGGGTCATGCTGCCACGGCTGTGAGTGTGAGTGTTGGAACACAGGGCCTGACGCACAGGAGGAGTCAGAGGACAACCGAGGGCCCGCTTGCTGGTCAAACGAGGACAACCGAGGGCCCGTGGATTGCACCTGGTTGAAGCCCGCTTGCTGCGTCCCCATTGATATCTGCTGCTGTTGCCAAGGCTGTGAGTGTGAGAGTGATTGTACTTGCGACTGTGGGAGGGTGAGTGATGTGCGAGGGGAAAGCGGGGGCAGGCCCGCTTGCTGCTTCTGCTGCTTCCGTTGCTGTGGAGCCAATAGTTGCTGCTGCTGCTGCTGCGGCATCCCTACCTGTTGCTGTTGCTGCATCATTTGTTGCTGCTGCACCTGAATCCCCGCCTGCCGCAGCTGCATCTGCTCCTGACCCATCAGCTGCCCCTCTCCGCTCTGTCCACCCAGCCGCCCCAGATCACCCTTCCCCAGGCGCAGCCTATCCGACACATCAGTTAACGCCTTCCTGCCCAGCATCCCACCCACTCCTGCCATCCCCTCACCCCCTGCAGCGCCCGCCCTCTGGCTCTTGGGCATATCAGACCACGACTTGGGCACATTCAACCCCACGCCTCTGTTCATGCTCAGTGTTCTACTGGCAATGCTTAACGTTCTACTTACCCCTGCCCCTATCCCAACCCCTGCCCCTATCCCAACCCCTGCCCCTGAACCTACCCCAACACCTGCCCCTGCTCCTACCCCTACACCTGACCCTGCTGCTCCTGCTCCGTTCCCTGCCCCCTTCCCTTTAGCTGGACCAAACGGCATGGAGTAAAACAGCCGGTTACCCTGCCTCGCCCTCCCCTTCCCCCCAACGTCCCCCTCCCCCTGCTGCTGCATCAGCCCCTGCCCCTGCCCTTGATCCCCCCCTTGCTCAAAGCCCAGTCCCAAACCTAGCCCCTGCCCCTGGCCTAGTTCCTGGCCTTGAATCCAGGATCGGTAACAGTTGGGGGGGATGGCAACGCCTCGTGGGCTTACTAGTGCTGCTGCTACCGGTGCTGCTGGTGATGCTGATGCTGATGCTGCAGCGACTGATGGTTGTGCACACGGTGTTACAAGGCCGCCGTTATAAGAGCTCAACACCCCATACTCTATACTCTCCTCCCTTTCCTCCTCATCCAGTAAATAATCTCCACCCACTCCAGGCCTCCCGCCGGACCTCCGCCGAACCAGGCTGAGCTCCGGAGGCTCAGAAGACACGGAGAAGCGGGGAAGCTGGTTGAGGCTAGGGGGGGACGAGGAGGGGAAGGAGGGAAGGGAATGGGGGGTGATGGGCTGGGCAGCGGTCGGCAAGGGGGCGGCGAGGGTATCGGAAGTGGGCGGCAGAGTGATGTCAGCAGCGAGGGGGAGGGCGTGCAGGCGGAATAGATAAGGCAGGTGGCCACGGGCGACCCGCACTCGTGCCATGCTGCCCCCCCCTTCCCCCTGCTGTCCCTGCTGTTCCTTCTGATGCTTCCGCTGCTGCTTGTGCTGTTTCTTTTGAGTCTGCGTCTGCGGTTGCTGCTGCTGCTGGTCCGTGGGGAGGTGGATTTCCACGAAGTGCCGATACTCGGGAAACTCACTTTGTAGATCAGCCTGGGGCAGGACAGGAAGGGGTGGGAGAGGGCGGATGGGGATGGAGAGGAGGGGCAGGAAGGAGTGAGTGAGTGGCGTGATTTCCGCGTTCCAGTGGAGCGATTTCAATATGAAAACGAGGAGGAAAGACAGGAGGGGGCAGGAGGAGGAACAAAAGGAGGAGGAGAGGAGCAGGAGGCTTCTTACCCTGAGCTTCTGAGCCTGTGCAGTGGCAGCCAGAGCCACACCATTTCCACTGCCGCCGCTCCCACCATCCCCTCCTCTTGGACTCCTCTGTCCAAACGGCAGGAAGCACGACATCACTCCCGCACCTGCCACCCCCCCACCCCCACCCCCTGGGGTCAACTCCTTCAGGTGCTGCCTCAGGTGCTTCAGGTGCTTCAGGTGTTTCACGCTCAGGTTCAGCGGAACCTCCAGGGTCCTGACAGTCTGTGCGAGATCTAGCATGTGATTGGCCAGCTGGGCGGCAGAGACCCCCCCTATAAGCACACCCACGGTCTCGGCGCCATATACGCCTCCCCTGGTGGCGACCATCTGGGGCAGCACGCGCAGTAGGAGCGGGGGGAGCTTGGAGGCCGGGGGCGCGTGGGGGAGCACGACGAGGGCGTGGCGAGATAGCCACCCGGGAGGATCGTTGTCGCTGCTGGTGCTGGTGGTGGCTGCAAAGCGGGGTGATTTGGGGTTTGTTGTGCTGGGCGGGTTCTGGCTGGCCCTGTCTGCTGCTGATGGTGTTGCTGCTCCTGCTGCTGCTGTGGCGGCGGAGGTGGGAGTTGCGGCGTCGGGTGCAAGCAGCCCCTTTTGCAGCCGAATGTCCCACACCGCGTGCTGTAGCCTGGTGGAGAGGGGTAGTGGTTTGGAACGAAACGATGGGTGAGGGATTTGGGAAGGGGTAAGAAATGAGGGTCGGTCTCTCTGTTGGTTGGGGTAGGAAAAAAACAAAAAACTACAGAACTAAGAAAAAAAAAAACAAAAACAAAAAAAAAAAAAAAACAAAAACAAAAACAAAATAAACTACAGCAGAAGTGAGCCCCTCTTCAGTTATAATAGCTGATATCAAATCTACAACCTGAAATTCTACGATTTGTTATTTTATTTTGATACTTCTTATTATCATTGCTAATACTATCATTGCTGTTAACACTCGGTGTGGGAGACTCACCCGAGCAGGCAGCAGATGGAGCGCCAGGCGCCGTACTGCGTGGATGTGAAGCGCTCATCTGTCAGCAGCAGCACCTCCGCCCACTGCTGCTGACCCGCCGCCCCCCCTGCGCCCATTACCCACTGCCCCGTGGGACTGCTTGCGCCAGCTGTGGTCGGCACATATCCCGGCACCAGCCGCACCTGCTTGCGCCTGCGAGGGGGGTACGGGAGGGAGGAAAAGGGGGGGGATGGGCAGGGAAGGAATACATCAAGCGAGTTTGAGTCGACTCAAACATACCTGGTGCCCAACTAACCGCTTGTTAATCCCAATCCCCAACTCACCGCTTGTGGGAGCGCTGGCCGTTTGCCACGAGCTCGGTCGACACGGACGCGAGGGAGAAGGGCGCCGGCAGCAACGAATCGTCAAGCGCCAGGTGGACGTCGATGGTCACGCTCTCGTGGGCGGCGAGGGGCGGCAGGAACTCGCGCTTCTCCCGCCGCTGCCGCCTGCCTGCTGACCTCTCGCCTCCCCGCTTGAGCGAGCCGGGCGTGAGCGCCCCCCTCTCGCTGTCGCTCTCACTCACCCACTCCACTGCTGCCACCACCTCCACCTCGGCTTGCAGACTGGTGGCAGGGAGGGCGAGAACGGTGAGGAGGGCGAGACGGGCGAGGAGGGCGAGACGGGCGAGGAGACAGGGCAGGGAGGGTACAGAGAGAGTGGGAGGGAGGTGAGGGAGGGAGCAGGAGAGATACGGACGATGTCATTCGCCTGCTGCCACCACCTCCACCTCGCCTTTGCAGGCTGGGAGGGCGAGAAGAGAGGGCACGGAAGGAAGGAGAGAGTGGGAGGGCGAAGAGGGCAAAGAGGGTCAAGAGAGAGGGAGCAGGGAGGTCGGAGGGAGCGAGGAGCACGTACGGGAGGGGGGAGTTGTTGGTGAGGGTGAAGCGGACGGCCAGCTCATCCCCAATGCGCATCTCGTTGGGCACCTGCACCGCGTCGCACGACACGTCGGGCGGCACACACGGTGCATCGGACGGCAAGGAGCGTCCGCTAGCTGACTCATATGTCGCCACCACAGAGGAACCACCATCAGTCCCATCTTCGATCTCTCCTTCTCCTCCTTGGCTGTACACAAGTCGCTCGTCTCCTCTTTCCCGGCCCCACTGCTCCCCTCGCTCGTCTCCTCTTTCCCCTCGCCCCTCATCTGCCTCACCACGCGCCCCGCTGCTGCTGCTGCTGCTTCTGCTGTTGCTCATGCTCATGGTGATGCTTCTGCTGCTGCTGAAGCGGAGACCACCCCGGCCCTTTCTTGAGAGGCAAGTACTCATCTTCAAGACTCGCACCCCCTAGACCACCCCCCGGGCTCAGATACTCACGTTCACCATTCACACACCCAAGCCCCGCAGCCTCTGCCTCTGGGCTACCCTCACTCCATCGCCCATCTTTCCACCCCTTCTCCCCTCCTACCGCCATGCTGCTCCCCTCGCTATAGCGCCGTACCCCGCCCCTCCCATCTCCCCCCCTCCCATCCCCGTCCCTCCCATCCCCGCTATAGTGCTCCTCGCTGCTGGCCCACGGACGCCTCAGCCTCGCCCTATTCTCTGTCGTCCGGGAGAACACCTCAATCCCCCGTGGGAACGCCTCTCCCTCCTCTCCCTCCTCTCCCTCCTCTCCCTCCTCTCCCTCCTCTCCCTCCTCTCCCTCCTCTCCCTCCGTCTCCTCGGTAATCTCCAGTCTCTCTGCATGCAAACCACCAGAGAGCGCCCCCTCCGCCCACGGCCGAGCAGCAGCAGCAGCAGCAGCAGCGTCACCATCGGAGCGTTCGGAGGGGGAAGCCTCGGAGAGCTGGGAGAGCGAGTCTTGGGAGCGGTGCAAGGGGGTATGGGAGCGCTGCGACTGGAAGAGCTCTTCTTGGAAGCGGTCGAAGCTGCGCCGCTCACTGCCCATTGAACCACCCGTGCGCGGCCGACTCGACAACCCCTGCTGCTGCGGCTGCTGCTGCTGCTGCTGCTGTTGCTGTTGTTGCTGCTGTTGCTGCTGGAGCAAGCGTCTGGGGTCATTCTGACTGCCGCCTGTGTAAACCTGCTGCCCACCCCCATCCTCCCTCCCCGTTGCACCTTCCCTTTCTTCCTCTCTTCTTTGCTCCTCCTCCTCCCCCTCACCTTGCTCCCCCTCGCCCTCCCCCTCAGCATCCTCCTCTATAACCATACCCAGAAATCGTCCGGAGAGGGAGCGAGGGGACAGTGGGTAGTCTAAGGAGCCCTCCTCCTCCTCCGCGCCTCCACTTCCGCCCATGCTTCCGCCCATGCTTCCGCCCATGCTCCCCCCTCTACTTCCTCCGCCAATGCTACCGCCCATGCCTCCCCCAATACTACCTCCGCCCAAACTCCCACCAATGCTCTCTCCAATGCTCCCCCTGAAGCTTCCTCCGGCGCTGCTTCCCCCAATGCTTCCCCCCATACTCCCCCCCATGCTCCCCCCGATGCTCCCGCCCACGCTTCCCCCCATTCCCTCCCCACCTCTACCGCTTCTCCTGATTCCGCTCTCCCCTCTCCCGCCACCGCCCCTGCGTCTCCTCGCGCGCCTCTTCCCCCCGCCACTCCCCCCGACAAGGCCACCCACAGTACCGTCCGCGTCCCCACGACCACCCCCATCCGCACAACCATAGTTGCTGTTATTCCCTTCCGCATGCCCATAGCTATGGCGGTCGCCGCCATCCACGCTGCTGTCCGTGTCATTAAAGAACAGCACTCGCTGCACCTCCTCTCTCTCGCTCTCCCCTTCCTCCTCCTCGCTCATCTCCTCCTCCTCAAACTCCTCCTCCCCCTCCCCTCCTTCCTCTTCCTCCTCTCCCTCCTCCTCCCCCACCTCCTCTCTCTGCGCTTCCTCTTCCCTCTCCATCTCGCCTCTCGTTCGTTCGTCGTCTCCTCTTCCTTCCACTCCCTTTTCGCGTCCACCCACCTCCCTTCTCCACACTACCCCCATCTCCCTTATTAACTCCCCAGCCCCCCTCCTCCTCCTCCTCCTCCTCCTCCCCCTCCCCCTCCCCCTCCCCCTCCCCCTCCCCCTCCCCCTCCCCCTCCCCCTTCCCCTTCCCCTTTCTCCCCCAATACCCTTCCGCGGACCCCGTTTCCGCCAGGCTCCCGCTGCTTCGCGACCGGTGAAACCGCGCAGACGAGCCTTTCCCGCTCCCACCAAAGCTATACCCGTTAGTATCATCTTCGTCTTGGTGCAACCCGTTATAATCTTCCTGATCTGCCCCTGAGAACCGAACCTGCCCATGCTTCTGCCGCCGCCGCCGCCCCTGCTGGTGCTGCGGCTGCTGCTGCCGTCCCGAGGCTTGCGGATCCCCACTCCACCCGCCCTGCCTGTTCGAAACTTGCACCGAACTGCTTTTCGCGACTGTGATAACACCGGTTACCCTATTCGTCCGTTCGCTACTGCTTCTATAGAAATCCATTCCATCCACCGTCCCGCTCCCCTCTCCCTGCTCCGCCTCCCCCTCCTCCCCCTCCTCCCCCTCCGCGCTATCCCACTCGAACATCTCCCCGCTCTCGTCGATCTTTCCAAACCACCGCGACGGCAGCGACTGCATACGAGACGGCGGCTGTAGCGGTGACTGCAGCAGAGACTGCCGCTGCTGTTGAAGCGACTGTAGCGGCTGTAGCGGCGGTAGCGCAGGCTGCTGCTGTGACTGCTGGCGCGACAGCGATTGTAACCGCGACAGCGACTGTAGCCGCGACAGGGTCTGTAGCTCGGAGGGATTCGCACCGGCACTCCGCTCGACGGTGTAACTATGCGAATGACGCAAACGTCGCACACTGCCACCGCCGTTTCCGCTTCCGCCTCCGCCTCCGCCTCCGCTTCCGCTTCCGTTTCCGCTTCCGAATCCCCTTCCGCTGGCGCTGCTTCCCGCGATATTTTTCCCCTTCCTCCCCCCGCTCCGCGTCTCTTGCGTCGCGCAATAGTCTTCCTCCAGTGGCGGTGCAGCGGCGGCTTCCGCCTTTTCCCACCCCGCCAGCGGCGGAGCTTCCTGCGCCCATCCGCGCGGAGTTTGCGCGTTTTGCGCGTTGCGCACGCCGGTAACAGCAGCAGCGGAGCTGGTAACCATACCAGAGCTACCAGGACTGCTGCTGGCAACAGCTTTAAGATTGCTGGAAACGCCCGTTACATTGCTCGGGTTGCGGGTTACAACTGTCGGCGTACTCGTTAAACCACTGCTAGGGCTAGTGTTGCTAGTAGCGAAGTTCTGCCACCGAAGCGCGGAGGAGTCTGAGGTCGTGTCGCTCGGCGTCCACACGGGCCCGCCCCCGAGGTAACCACCGTTACCAGTGCTGTATTCCCCGATAAACGCAGACCCGTTATCAACACCGCCACGGTTCGGCGGCAGCGCGCCGCCATGGTGCGACATCGCGCCGCCATGGGGCGGCATCGCGCGGTGCGGCAGCGCGGGGAGAGCCATGACAACGCTGCTGTCGTCTTCCCTGGAAGACGCTGCGGGCGACAGAATCATCTCTCCGTCAAACCTGGGGCTCTGACGAGCATCAAAACCGTCGTATCTGCCGCCGCCGCTGTCGCCTGACAGTGCCACGTCAGCCTCCGTCATCGGCTGCAGCCAACCCGCTGGTGAGTTGCCAACGGCGGTGGCGGCGGCGGCGGAGGAGGAGGAGGCGGAGGCAGCTCTCGTATCAACGGCGCCGCGGAGTAGCGAACCGAACGCGCCAATGATAGCGCCGCTGCCACTGCGAGCAGCGGTGCCTTTCGCGTTACTACTAGCGTTACTCGTGGTGCGACTACGATGATGCGCATTGTTGCTGTAACCATCATCATCCCAAGAAACGCGACTAGAAGCCTGTGGTAACGAGTCGTTAGCTCTGTCGCGCGAGCCGTCGGCAGCGCCAGGCGGTCTTGGCTGAGGCGTGCTTTCGCGGGACGACCAATCGACGGACGGGACGACGTCTATGGCGTTACGGGGCGATCCGCGTGGGCCGAGGTTCATTCCTTGTGCTCGTCGCACGAGCCCGTCGGCGGCCGAGTTTTGTCGCACGAATCCGTCGCGCGACGGTCGCATCATGGTTATTGCGCGCAACGTCGGGTCGTTAATACTCCGGCGCGACACTTCCATAGTTGGGGCTGCGGCTTAGCATCGGGCTGTAACTAATACTCATCCGTTGCTGCCATTCCGAATGTGCCAGCAGCGTCGGACGCATGCATCATGCCTGCCGTTACTAATAGAACTGCACTACCGCACATGCTGTATCATCGGCCCATGCAAGTGGCGGGAGTGAAGTCACTGCAAGGCCGTCATGAACCCTGAGCCGTCCGTCACTCATTCACTCGTGAGCCCGCTTTCAGCTCGTAGTTGCGAGCAGGATAGTTTCGGTTTGGAGAAAGGGAGGTTTCGACCAGAATTGCTCCGGTGCGCCTAGAATTGTGTATGTCGCATGTGGTGGAGTAGACAGTGGGAGGAGGTGCGCATATACCCAGTATGAGTGACTATCTTGTTTCGCAGTTTACGTGTACCTTGCTAAAAGGAAAGGGTCAATATCAGGAAATGTTTCTACCATCAACGTGTATCTTGTACATTAATCAAAGTATAGGGGAGAAATGTGGCACTAGTCTGTGAGCTTGGCTTGCCATGAGAGACTAATGTAGTACTGAAATGGAAAACCTGCAATATTTTTTGTTAAAATGAAAGGGTGCGAATAACTCGTATCCGGTGTTAGCGCCAACTTCAGGCAGGCAATCTTGGCCTATCCAAACACAAGTGCGTGAGGAGGTCTCGAGTGTACAAGTTGCTGTCTTCGAAGTTCTGTGCACGGCCAGGCGATGGAGGGAGAGGAAGAGCAGGAGATGGCCAAGGACGACGAGGTTGGGGCAGGGAACCGTGTTTTGAGGTTGAATTACGTACACGCGGGTTAAGAACTGTACAGTACACTATTAAGGAATTGAATAATCATAATGCTAAGATTGAGTCATATCTGGTGTGTACTGCTTTGAGAAACATCCGGCTCTGGTTCCGCAAAGGAATGTTCCAGTTCACCGACTCCAAGATTTCATGGGTTTGCAGCCAGTTCTGGATTTGATTGTGCGAGGGAGGACGCTGGGGAGAGACCGACCCAACGAACTCAACCGATCTGGTTGCCCTACATTTTCTTTCGTCCACCCTCAACCCACCTCATCCCTACAATATCCCAACCAAGCAGAACCTCACCACATTCATCCACACCTTTCTAATCCCCAAATTTTGGTCTGAACCCAACCCAACACCCTTGCTTTGTCGTGACACTCTCCTTGGTGTGCAGTTTCGATTTCTGGCGGACAAGGGCAAGGAAAGCGTACTGTACAGTACACCACACCGACCCCAACAAAACTGCCGTCAGCAAACCCACTGCTTACGTCAAGGCGGTCCGCGTGGTCTGAAAATGCTGCACCCATGTCGCAGAAAACTCCAAAGGCACTTGGACAAAGCAAATGACAGCTGGAGGAATGATACAGAGAGAGTCCCGCCAAGAAGCACAGTGACGCCTTTGTCTTCTGAAATCTGCTTTAAGTTTCCACACCCACAAAGTTAGCCTTAAAACCGGAGGGTCAAGAAGCACGAATTTGGTTCAACCTTCCTAAGGTTGGTTGGGTGTTACCCGGTTTCCAACGGAGGCAACTCTTGAGACACACAAACCTGGTCCTGAACATTCGCCAAACTAGAGCACTGATGCAGCGACAAATGCCCAGTTAGGTTTCATCGCACGACACATCGCCCAACTCCAACCTGCGTAAATATGAGGCACACAGGGGGGAGAAACCTGTCCCAAAAACGCTAGTGATTATTCGCGAGTTCTAGGACCCACTATTAGACCCGCGCAGCCCGCCAACTAGCCAACATACCGACAAGCGGGCGCGCGCTAATCACGAATTACAAAAGGTATGGGAGTGCTAAAGTCGCGGAAACCGACATTACCGGAAATGTAGTTGTGCGTGGTGACGTTAGCAGACTGATGGCAACGATTTGACCTGCAGAGCTATGCGACGTCGCATTTAGGTCACGATTTGCGTTGCAGGGCAACGCGACGGCGACATTAGGTCACGATTTGCCCTGCAGGGCAACGCGACGGCGAGACTTGCATTGCAGGGTAACGCGACTGCGACATTAGGTCACGATTTGCCCTTCAGGGCAACGCGACGGCGACATTACGTCACGTTTTGGCCAGCAGGTCAACGCGACGGCGACATTAGGTCACGATTTGCCCTGCAGGGGCAATGCGACCTACAAACAGGCGGAGGTGCATGGGCAGGGGGGATCGCGTGGGCAGGCGAAAGCACCTGGCTCACCTCCGCCTCGCTCACCTCCGCCTCGCTCACCTCCGCCTCGCTCACCTCCGCCTCGCTCACCTCCGCCTCTCTCACCTCCGCCTCTCTCACCCTCCGCCTCTCTCACCTCTGCCTCGCTCACCTCCGCCTCTCTCACCTCTGCCTCTCTCACCTCCGCCTCGCTCACCTCCGCCTCTCTCACCTCTGCCTCTCTCACCTCCGCCTCTCTCACGCTCCGCCTCTCTCACCTCCGCCTCTCTCACGCTCCGCCTCTCTCACCTCTGCCTCGCTCACCTCCGCCTCGCTCACCTCCGCCTCTCTCACCTCTGCCTCGCTCACCTCCGCCTCGCTCACCTCCGCCTCTCTCACCTCTGCCTCTCTCACGCTCCGCCTCTCTCACCCTCCGCCTCTCTCACCTCCGCCTCTCTCACCTCCGCCTCTCTCACCCTCTGCCTCTCTTTCGCCTTCGCCACCCATTCCGCATCTCACCCCCTCCGACTCTCACGCCCTCCGCATCTACCCCCTCACACACTTGTCCTCTCACTCGCCTTCTCCACCCACTTACCACTGCCTCCCACTCCCCTCCGTCCCCTCATAACCCCCCCCATCCTTCTCAGCAACCTGTTCTCACTCCCCCCTTGTGCTCGTACTTAATCACTCCAACCCTGCCATCTAAACTCCCGCTCCCCCGCTGGTTGTACCCTTCCTCTCTCCCCACATGGCAGTTTGTGGTTGCACAAGAAAATATGGATTCGAGCCGCAGCAAGCGTAGGGTCTCCTCGAAATTCTTGACTAACAACTTGGAGTACTTAGAGTGGGAAAAAAAAGGTAGAATCAGGACTTGGTAAGTCCAACTTCAGTAAAGAACGTAGGCGTACGCGTTTCGGCCGTGAGGCCTTCGTCAGCGCCGTAGGATTACAGAATGAAAGACTACTCTAACCCCTTTTCTACCCATTTCCCGTTATCCTCTAACTTCCCCGAATTCCCCTAGGTCTAGACAAACTCCAGGTGTAATCTACCCGAACTTCAAGCAACTGCCAAGTCGGATCACCCTTGCCAGCGCGGACAATTGGTCCCGAAGGTCAGCTCGTACTTAATCACTCCAACCCTGCCATCTAAACTCCCGCTCCCCAGTTGTACCCTTCCTCTCTCCCCACATGGCAGTTTGTGGTTGCAGCATGTGTAAAAGTACAGGCATGGGGAGATGCATCGACAGGGGGATAGCTTGGGCATGGGGAGATGCATCGACAGGCGGGTAGCTTGGGTATGGGGAGATGCATCGGCTACTTTATCATTCTCTCTTCCCCCTGCTACCCCTATCATTATCCCTTCCCCTTGCGGCCCCTGTCATTCTCCCTTCCCCTTGCTACCCCTGTCATCCACCCTTCCCCGCCCACCATCTCTCTCCTGCACCAACCCCGCACGCATGGCAGGTGGTGTTGCGGGTTTGGAGCAGAGTGTTGGGCGCACAGCCGGGGCGTGCGTGCAGGCGGGCAGCAAGGAGGGCAGTGCTGCAGAGGGCCCTGCAGGGGAGCGGGGGAGGCGGGGCAGGGGAGGCGGGGGGTAGGGAAAAGGGGTGCAGAGGTCCTCCTCCTATCCCCTATTCCACCCTTATACCCTGCCACACTTTTACCTCCTGCCCTCCTCCCTAACTCCGTTCCTTTGTTCCCCCACAGTCGTCCTCCCTCCCTTCCTCCCGTCCCCTTCCTGCCATTCTCCCATCTCCTCATCCTCTCTCGATCCTGTCCCCCTTCCCCTTCCCATCTCCCACCCTCCTACTCCCTTCCTCTCATCCACCCATCCTCCCTTTCTTCCTTCCTCCCTCCCTTCCGACCATCTACCCAACGTCGTCCTCTCCTACCCCCTTCCTTTCTTCATCCATTCCCTCTCCCAATTCTCAGGCTCAGTGCCTTTCCCCGCTCTTTCCCCCCTTACAACCACTCTTCGTCTTGCCCCCCCTTCCGCCCTTCCTCTGTGTCCCCCTTGCTCATTTTCTCCCTCCGTGCATTCCTTGTTCCCTACCGCCGTTGCCCTTCCATTGTCATTGTTTTGAATCCTTCCCCGCTGCTTCGACTTTGACACATCCGAGTTGTGGTTCGTGTGTGTGCAGATCTGCCATGCATCCAGTTGTGATGTGTTTGTTGTTTGATGATAGTGGTACCGTATGACAAATAGCTATGCCATATATTGATGTTGGATGCTTCTCATAATACACAACTTTGTGTTTTGGAGCAGAAATGCACATGACCATTACCGGTACAAGGAAGAGCAACAAAGCAAGCTATATTGCTAAAAAGGTTTCCAACAGTGGACATTAGGCACATGCACAAAGCTAGGAGGTGGAACATTTCAACCCATTCGTGTCAGGCCACGAACCATGGTGCTGGACACCTGTACAAGCATGGTTATGTGATGGAACAGGGAGCGAAGAGGGGATGTGGCAGAATAAGCGAGGGGTGGAGGTGGAGGTACAAAATGGCATGTATGGGAGGAGTGGACAAGGCAGAGGGGTGAGCAAAGGGGGAAAGGGAGTGAGCAGGGTGGAGAAGGGGGAGAGCAAAGGAGAAAGCAAGTAAGCAAGGGCTAAGGAGGGGTGTGAGCACGGGAAATGAGAGGACTTGGGGGTGGAAAAGGGTTGAATGAAAGGGAATAGAGAGTAAACAGGGGGAGAGATGGGTGTGTACAGGGGGAAAGGGATGGCGAGGGGGAGAGAGTGAGCAATGGGCAAGGGAGTGAGCAGGGGAAAATAGGGGCGAGCAAAGGGGGAAATAGACCGAGCAGGGGAAAATGGGTGGGATTGGGGGAAAGGGCGGGTGGTAGTGAGGGAAAGGGAGGATTGGCATGGGGGAAAGGGAGGGTTGGCGTGGGGGAAAGGGAGCATTAGCGTGGGGGAAATGGAGGGTTGGCGTCGGGGAAAGGGAGGATTATTGTAAGGAAAAGGGCGAGGGAGAGTGGGGGAAAGGACAGGGAGGAGTGGGGGAATGGACGGGTGGGGTGTGGGGGAAAGGCCGGGGGGGGGTGGGGGAAAGGATGAGGGGGAGAGAGGATGACATGGTTCGCACGAAGAGGCGTGTTGGGAGCGCAGGGCATGCACGGTCGAAAAGGCGGTGTGGCCGTGGAGGAGTGGGGAAAGTTTCAGAGGGGAAGTTGGGGATTGGATGGGGGGAAGTGGGGGAGAGGCCCGGGGGAGTGTGGGGAGGGACGAGGTGGAGTGGGGGAAAGAGAGGGTAGGAGCGGGGGAAAGGGTGGGTAGGATTGGGGGAAAGGGGGGGTGTTAGTTGGGGAAAGACAGGGCAGAAGTGCGGGAAAGGGAGGTGCGTGGGGGAAGCGGAGGGTTGGCATTGGTGAAAGGGAGGATTACTGTGTGGAAAAAGGGCGAGCAAGAGTGGGGTATTGGCTGGGGAGGAATGGGGGAATGGACAGGTGGGAGTGGGGGAAAGGACGAGGGGGAGTCGGGGAAAGAACGAGGGGAGTGGGTGAATGGGCGTGGGGGAGTGGGGGAAAGGAAGGGGGGCAGTGGGGGACTGGACGCGGGGGAGAGGGGGCTGGGGCAGGTGGATGTCGGGGAAGGAACAGGGAGACGGAGGATTAGCGTGAGGGAAATAGAGGGGTGGCGCGGGGGAAGGGAGGATTATGAGGGGGAAAAGGGCGAGGGAGAGTGGGGCGAGGACGGGGGGGAGTGGGGGAAAGGACGGGGGGGAGTGGGGGAAAGGCCGGGGGGGGGGAGTGGGGGAAGAGGGGGTGGGGGATTGGGGGGGAGAGGGGGAAGAGAGTGAGCAGGGGAGACAGAAAAAGAGAGCCGGGGGGAAGCGAAGGAGCAGGGGAAACAGGGTGAGCCTGGGAAGAGAGGGCGACGGGAGAATGAGCAGGGTGATGGGAGGGGGGAGTGAAGGAGACGGGAGGGGGAAGTGAAGAGCGAGGGGAGGGAAAAGGGAAGAGCGACGGGGGGGAAAGTGAAGGCGACGGGAGGGGGGAGTGAAGGCGACGGGAGTAGGGAGTGAAGGCGACGACGAGAGTAGGGAGTGAAGGCGACGGGAGGGGGAAATGGAGGCGACGGGAGGGGGAAGTGACGGTACTTGCAGGGGAGGGACTGGCGCGGCTAGGGAAGTACCCTAAGGGAAGTTTTAGTACGGGGAGGGAAGGGATCGGATTGGGAAGGGAAGGGAAGGGCGATGAATCAAGGCTGAGTGACGGGAAGGGAAGGGAAGAGGAGGTGTACGACGGACAGCTGACACCGGTGGTGTGATGGGATCATGATACATTGGCGTGAGGGAAGCTCTGAGAATCAGCGTGAGCCTAAAGTACATGCTGCTGGCGATTCTTGTGAATCGCGGCGAGAGGTAGGGCCGCACTGGCGCTTGGACTCCACCTTTTTACTGCATAGCGGGAAATGTTAATTTGTGGCGTAACGTCCTCGTGGCTCGAGCAAACGCAACACGCGGGATCAGAGGAAGGAATCGCACTTACTGGCGTTTTCGAAGCGTGCTGTGTGTCACTTCTAATTCCCAGCGATAGCTAATGATGCCGTAGCGCCGCTTTGTGTACGCTATCACTATCGCCTGCCGTCTGCTTTGACGAGGTGGCTTTGCGTATGCGCTAAGCTCAATTTCCTAGCTACTTGTAGTCGGAGCAGTTTCCTATACTACAATGCAGTGACGTGGTGTTGGAAAGTGGGGTTGTGTGTGAGACAGGTTGTTGTTGGGTGTCGCTTAGGCTCTCTGCGACTGATGTGTGTGTGAAGTACATGTCGCAGGTCAATCCTGGTAACATTGGCGAACCTGGGCAAGTACACGAACATCCTCTAACAATCTCGACACTACCAAATTTCGCGGGCCAATCACGTTTTCAGTCCCAGCCAATCTTCCTAAGGTTGAAGTTCTTGGCCCGCGGGTTTTAATACAACTCAAAAGCTGGCTGCAATGTCAAACATTATCGTCTAACTACTTCTCATACTCGTGCAGATCATGTGCTTCATCTGCCAATAGGCTTGTATCTGCCTCCCATTCATCAGCAGACACAGGAGGCATGCCCCTCACCTTGCGCCTCATATTATGCTTGTGCCAGTCCGACTTCATATGCTCCCGAAACAACTTTGTGTCATCAAGCGTTGCTCCATCCCCGCATGTGCTGCACCGCTGCTGCCGCCCGGTCGCTCTACCTCCCGCACTTGAACCACCTGCTGCACCACCACCTCCTGTAACCCCATCCGCAACAGCAACACCCCCCAGTGCTCTAGTATCTGCATCTACGAGTAAATCAGCATCTCCTCCAGCAGCACCACCACCACCACCTGCCCTCCCACCTCCCCTTCCCCCAGCCTCTACCCCACTCTGCACCTGATCCCTGCCTGCCTGGGTTCCCCTATCCTCTGCCGCTCCTGCTGCTGCTGCTGCCCCCCTTCCATGTGCCGTCATGGCAGTGCCAGCAACAGTGGCTTCGGATTCATCGAGCGAGTCAAAGGATAGGTCGCCCTCTTGCTGCACTGCTGCCGCCCGCACCTCCAGCCGCCCTCTCACTCGCTGCATCAGCGAGTCTACTTCTCGGAACCTGCCCGGCTCAATCTGACACACCTGGTCCCATACGAGGCAGGCGGGGCAGGGGGCGCATGCAGGCACAACACAGAAACAAGACACATCGGTTGCAATATGATTTCCGACAAACCAAGTAGGAGGATCGAAACATGCAACAAATGGCATGCAGAATAGCTGAGTCCAGCAGACCGCGGGCATCCGTGTTGCAATAAAACGCATGCGACAGGCTGGGAAACTTCCCTGAAAAAGAAAACGCCATGCAGGCGGTGGTACTTTTTCGGAATTCCTTACAGCTCTTTGAGAGACGACTCACCATGGAGACCTGCGCGGGTGCGTTTTGGGCGGAGTCCACCGGCTGCGCCTGCGAGCGCATGAGCGCGCCCATCTGCTGCAGCTCCGCCTGCACTGATGGCAGCGCGGCAGACGGCAGCACGAGGCGCAGCTCCATCCGCGCCCGCGTGATGGGAAAGCGCTTCGACAGCTGGCGGATAAGATCCAGGGCCTGATGTGATCGTGCGTCAATGGGATTCGCATGCAAGGCCGGACGCACAGGTGGTGGTGAAGTGAAGAAGGGGAACAGAACGGCAACCCGACATTTTGGATTGAAAAAAAATAAGCCCAATGTTTCGCAACAGACGAGATGGGGGGAAATCTGAAACTTCAGCTGGATTGTCTTTTCCGAGTGCTATGCACTCACCTGCTGCTTGGAGGATCGATTGGGGTCGACGGAGAAATGGATGTCGCGGATAAACTTCTCCACGATGCCCACCGGATACGGCCGGTGCGTCTCAGGGTTCACTGTTCGCTCCGTTACAAGGCATGTTATGTCCCTCAATAACGCGGATGCCTGCATCTCCCGCTCCTTATCAGAAACCTGGTACTCCCCCTTCTCCAGAATCTGCAGTTGTGCGATGTACGTGAAATCCCGGCAAGACGAGCGATTTCTCAGAAAGCAAATGCATCCGTGGAAGCTTTTGCCAAGTATTTGCAATTCGGGTTTAATATTCTGGGTCAGGGATTGTGGTCCAGGGTTTAAAGTAACATATTTCCAATCAGTTTTATAAGAGAAGGCATAGCATGCACAAAGCTACAGGCGGCTTTCGCAAAGACGGCATAGACTCACCTCAAGGCACACCTTCTCCTGGTCGTCCGTCCCAAACGCGGCGACGAGGTCCTTGGATTTGGCGAGCGTGCCTTTCCCGACATTGGAGAACACCGTCTGGCTCTGCAGCACCTCGTCTAAATCCTTCTCGCTGTCATGTCACCAGGGAAAAAGTCGACGACCAGAATAAGATAAGGGGACGGAAAGCGCCGCGGAGATGTCGAGGCATGATGGACAAGGAAGGTGATCGCGCACATGGGAAAGTGTGATGCAGCGAATACCAAAGTCCATAAAACTAGAATTCGGCCTCTGTCAGACAAGCGCCGGTGGGGACTACATTCAATGATAACGCAGAAAGTTGCGGAAAAGGAGAATCTTACACGCGCGTCCTCCAGGAGACCACCTTGTTCTTGTAGCACGCGATTTCGAACCTCATCCCGCACTTTTTTAGCCTCACGACCGCAATATTCGTCAGGCGCTTCTGCCCTATGGGTTGCTTGTAAGTCGACATGACGGTAGTGGCGTTGCTAAGGACACAGACTTGGGGAATACGCTCGTAGTTGTCCTTCCTCAGCCTTCTTGTTCTTGCAGACACACTTGTACGCGGTAGTCGATACCTCAGATTGAATTACAGAGAACAAGTTATTCATCTAATGCCTGCCCTGAAAGATACTAGTAAACTCAACCTCTTCAAACCAAACTGGTACCTCCAAAACAGCTTTTACAGAAACTGTGGCTTTATTAATGGTTGAAGTGCGATACAAAGCCTTGAAGTGATGGGGAAAAGGTGATAAAGGAGGAGAGTGAAAGTAGGGAAAGAAGGAAGATTGTAGTGGTGAGAAAAATTAGAGGGTGACAAGAAGAGAAGAGGAGTTAGGAAGAAACGGGAAAGGTGAAGATGAAGAGAGGAAGAAGAAGGAAGAGACAAACAGAATAAACCGCAAAGGACCAAACACAACAGCAACCCGCATAACAACGCAAACACATCGTTTCAAGCACAGCCACTAACTGCCTACTCAAATGCATCGTACATATGTTGCATATCCGCCTCTTGAAAAAGCCACTAGTCTGTGATACGTATGTTGTCAACTGCCTGCTCTACACCTAGTGGGACAGGTGCGGGCATCCATCTGTTGTCAAAAAGATGTGTGGTGAGTCAAATCTCGGAAATTCATGTTGATCTGGCATCCCTCCTTTCCCTCCCCCCCCCCCCCCCCCCTCCTAAATCCCTCCGCCACTGTGGTATCTGCCACGTACAAAGCCCCATAAACTGGCTCATCGGCTCGTTGAGCAACCCAAATGTCTCTGCCACTCATGCATAGAAAGTGGAGGTGACTGCAGCCCCTCCATGTGAAGTCCTTAGTCTCGTAGCTTGATTTGTACTCGCTAAGCTGCTCCCACACCTATCTATATCGGGGTAACAATTTTGACCCCAAGGTACCCCCTTTGCTGTAGATTTGCAATGGAAACATCCACCAAAACCATTAAACTTTTATCGATGTGACGACTTGTCAGGTCTGGAAAACGGGCGGTGTCCCTATGCGGCCTATGCGTTCGGCCTGCCTCTGCTGCTGCACTGTGTCTGGTCCCTCTGTGCCTCCTTCCTCGTCGCCTTTGTGTCAAATGATATATATGTGTGATATATATTGGTAGGCTGTAGTGGGGTAGATGTTATAGGGGATAACTCCTTAGGGTTGTGTTATTTGTACCAAAATTTCTCTCGATAGTGAACCTCACCTTGCCTAGCTATCTCAACATGGCATCTAGAGCAATGGTCCTAAGGACCTAAGATTGGGGCCCACCTACTCATGAGTTACTTTCCCTACAGCTATACCTACGTGCCTACCTTGCCTGCTGCCCGCGCGCGCCTCGGCTGCATGCGCGCGTGCATTTTTTTTTAGCGCGCCCCGCTGCCTTAGCCGCCCGCGTGCTCGCTGCTGTCACGCGCAGCTCGGCGCCGCGCGCAGCCCGCAGCCGCGCGCAGCCCGTCGCCGCGCGCAGCCCGCAGCCGCGCGCAGCCCGTCGCCGCGCACAGCCAGCTGCCACGCACAGCCCGCAGCCGCGCGCAGCCCGCTGCCGCGCGCAGCCCGCAGCAGCGCGTGCCCTGCCCTGCCTGTGCGCCACTGCCTCGACCTGAGCGCTTAGCCGCCCGTGAGTCGTGCGCTTGCCTGCCTTACGCGCGGCCTGTCACAGAACTGCGTGCTTCCTTACCTGCTACAGTTGCCTGCTGCCTGAGCCTGCTGCCTGAACCTGCAGTCTTTGCCTGCTGCCTGAGCCTGCTGCCTGAGCCTGCTGCCTGAGCCTGCTGCCTGAGCCTGCTGCCTGAGCCTGCTACCTGAGCCTGCTGCCTGAGCCTGCTGCCTGAGCCTGCTACTTTTGCCTGCGCTACAACCATGGCGACCCTTACTGTTCTCGCCTTTGAGCCTGACGGCCGCCCCATCGAGTTTGACACCTGGCTTAGTGACCTGCGCCTTTACCTTATGACTGACGTCGCAGACGGAGTGTCACTGCTAGCCTATGTGACCGGCACTGTCCCTACTCCTGCTGAGACTGCTCCTGCCCCTGAACGAGCACAGTGGGAGCTCCGCGATGCTGTCGCGCGCCTTGTTATTCGCAATCACCTACCGATCTCTGAGCGCGCGCATTTCAACCAGCTTAAGACTGCTAAGACGCTGTATGATGCTGTCGTTGCCCGCTATTCCGCCCCGACCACAGCCACCGTTGGTAGTCTCATCCTGCCTTACCTGTTCCCAGACTTAGCCTCGTTTCACACTGCTGCCGACCTTATCACTCACCTCCGCGCTAGTGACGCCCGCTTTCGAGCCGCTCTTACCAACGAGTTCCTCGCCACGAACACCCCCCCGCTGTACTTCACCCTCTACATCCTCGTCACCCGCCTCCCTGACACTCTTCGCTCTGTCAGGGATTACTTCCTTGCCAAGGATCCTCCAACTATCACTCTGGACGACTTCGAGCAGCAGCTGGTCGCAGCAGAGAAGAACATCCTCGCTGTCGGTGCTGCTCGTGGCACTCCCCGCACTCCCCTCTTTGAGGGGTGCTCCCCCTCCCCTCTTGACCCCTCCTACGCCTCTGCTGCTACTGCTGTCGACTTCCTCGGTGCGGAGAAGGTCGCAGCGGCTTCCGCTCCTGGTGGGAAGCGTGGTGGTGGCAGGGGCGGCAAGGGTGGCAGGGGTGGCGGAGGTGGCGGTGGAGGGAGCGGTGGTGGAGGCGGCGGGGGTGGTGGAGGTGGTGGGGGTGGCCGTGGGGGTGGAGGCGGTGGGTGGGGTGGCGGCAGGACCGGGGGCGGTGGAGGCGGCGGCGGCGGTGGTGGGGGAGGAGGCAGCGGCAGTGGCGGTGGAGGTGGGAGTGGGGGTGGATCTGGCCAGAAGGGTGGCCAGCAGCAGCAGCAGCAGCTTCCTCCCCTCACCTCCCAGCAGCTCAATGACTGGTATGCTGGGCGTGGGGCGTCTCGGGGTTCTGACCGCTGCCCCTATGTCATTCGTACTGGCCCCCGCAAGGGTCGCCCCTGCAACGGTTTTCACACTGAGTATCGTTGTTTTGCTAGGCTTAGTGACGCCTGGCGTACTAAGTATCCTGATGCTACTGAGTTCCCCAACTGGGCAGAGCTGCTTAGGCGTGATGTGCCTATCTTTGATCTGGACTATGATGTTATTCTTGCTGCCATGTATGCATTGACTGTTAGTGCTGAGGGTGACTGCTACTTGTGTGTGCCGCCTGACCCCGGTATAAGGACTGCAGCCCTAGGTGCTAGTGAGTCTGCTCCCCTTGGTACTGAGTCGGCTCAGGCCTTGCACACGTTTACACTTGACTCTGGTGCTTCCCGCTGTTTCTTTCGCGATAGCACCACCGTCACTCCGCTCCCTGCACCTGTCCCTGTCTCCCTGGCTGACCCCTCTGGGGGCCCAGTGCTTGCACGCGGCACGACTGTGCTCCCGTGCCCGGCGGTCCCGTCTGGTGAGCTGTCAGGTCTCCTCGTTCCCTCGTTCTCTACGAACCTGGTGAGCAACGCCGTCCTCCAGGATCACTGGGTTGACACCTGGACTCCTGGAGGGCAGCGTGTGGCGATCTGCACGTGCTCCAAGACTGGCCGCCACCTGGCCACGTTCACTCGTGAGCCGGGGTCCAGTCTGTACACCCTCACCACTGTTTCACGCTCCGCTCCTTTGTCTCCACAGCTGTACGCGTCTGCTCAGGTAGCTACCCAGTGTGAGTGCCGCCGCCTGTCGCACGACACGCTCCTGTGGCACCACCGCCTTGGTCACCCCTCCCTGCCTCGCCTTCGTAGCATGCACTCTCGCTCTCTGGTCTCTGGGCTTCCCAGGTCTCTGCCTGCCCTCCCTCCCTCGCCTGCGCCGCCCTGCATTCCCTGCGTCGAGGGGCGGCAGCGCGCCGCTCCTCACTCCTCCTCGTTTCCTCCCACAGAGGCTCCCCTGCAGACGCTTCACCTGGACGTGTGGGGCCCAGCCCGCGTCCAGGGACAGGGCCGTGAGCGGTACTTTCTGCTGGTTGTCGACGACTTCACGCGTTACACCACGGTCTTCCCCTTGCGCAGCAAGGGAGACGTCCCTGCTGTTTTGATCCCCTGGATCCGCGCTGTGCGTCTCCAGCTCCGCGAGCGGTTCGAGCGGGACTTTCCTGTCCTGCGTCTGCACTCTGACAGAGGTGGTGAGTTCTCCTCTGACCTCTTGGCAGCCTTCTGTGCGGAGCACGGCATCACCCAGTCGTTCACGCTTCCGGCCTCTCCGCAGCAGAATGGGGTTGCTGAGCGCCGCATTGGCTTAGTCATGGAGGTCGCTCGTACCTCCATGATCCATGCGGCGGCTCCCCATTTTCTGTGGCCGTTCGCGGTCCGGTACGCCGCGCATCAGCTCAACCTCTGGCCCCGTGTCTCCTTGCCGGAGACCTCGCCCACACTGCTGTGGACGGGGGAGGTTGGCGATGCGTCGCGTTTCCGGGTCTGGGGTGCTCGTGCCTTTGTCCGCGATCTCACCGCGGACAAGCTCTCTGCTCGCGCCATTCCCTGCGTCTTCCTTGGTTTTCCTCCTGACGCGCCTGGCTGGCAGTTTTACGACCCCACCTCGCGCCGTGTCTTTGCGTCTCAGGACGTCACCTTTGACGAGTCTGTTCCCTTCTACCGTCTCTTTCCCTACCGCACTGTCTCTCGCCCCCCCCCCGCCGCTCTTTCTCGCTCCAGGTCCTCCCCAGGTAGACCCCCTCCCCGCGCCAGGTCCTGCTCCTTCAGGTGTTTCTCAGGTAGACCCTCCGGTACCTGCGCCTGTTGAGGTCACTGGTGACTCAGGTCCTGCTGGAGGTGGTCCTGCTCGGGGTGCTGAGCCTGGGGGTGCGGAGCCTGAGCGAGAGGCGCCTAGAGGTGCTGAGCCTGGGGGTGCGGAGTCTGGGGATGCCGTGCCTGCG